TTTATATCTAATATACTGTATGTTTGAATCAGTTTAACAAAAAGAATTTTTGTTGCATTCTAAACAACTTGCTGGCACAAATATCAGTTTGCCATTTTGATCACATAATTACTCTAGATAGTATTTTCCTTTATGAGTAAAATTGTCTGTTGTCAAAGTGAATAAAACAACATATGTGTCACACATTAGCGTGCAATGGCACACTGATTATATGAACATGAAAACATACTTGCTTTTCTCTTGAAGGCCAGACCAGTGGGGGTATGTCTGCCATTATATAAAGAGAACCTTGAGCTGCTGTGGATATAACTTCACTAGCATTTCACTTAAATTACCTTGAAATCTTTGGAATGCACAGCTTCCTCCCTCCTGGGACAGTGCTTAAAAACAGAAATTGAATGCCTGTTAATAAAACTTGTACAGTAGACTACGGTACTGTATGAGCAGTCCCTCCTTTCCACAGGTTATATTCGCAGTGCTGTGATATGTAATTAATTTTTTTTCATTACCTTAAATAGACATAAGGCAAAATTTCCCTTTCTGCCAAACCAAACAAAGAGGCAAACAAGTTGCTAATTTCATGTTTGACATCTAATTCTTGCCACGTTCTTTTGATTACCGTTAGATTTAAGTGGGGTAAGATAATATTTAATACATGTAGATTCTGGTCCCACTTAATAATATTGCTGCTATTTCGCCCTTTAACAAGATGTGGTCTTTTACGGCCACTTTGACACGTCGCAGTAAATTTGCACAGGATTGAAGATTTAATATAAGCATGAATTCCAAAGTGTAAGACAAAGTTAACATATCATATGGTTTATTTACATTTTTAAACAATTGAACTATACTTTGTAAAGTACGATGTGCTTTTGAATGTTGTGATCGAACAACATTTAGGTTCGCAAAGCATCTAAATGAGTATGAACTGTATTGGCATGTGCGCGGCACGCCGGAGTTAATGCCAGAACAGGCGTCTTGTTCAATTTAAATCATTTGGCATTACACAGAATAAAATAATAATGCACAAATCAATGTTAAGCCAGAGGGGGGAAGCTGGGCTAATCGGTGGGGATTTGACCCAGATTGGAAAGTTTGTCCTGTGCAGGTGAGGAATCCCCTGCACAGCTTTTGGCCAACTGCAGCCGCACCTGTGTAACTTAGAGTTCCAGGTCTTCACCTGCGGAAAGGTTAGCACTTCATCTTGCAAGGAAATAACATAAAGGAAATATCCGTTCAAGCAAAATAAAAAACTGGTGAAACTGTGTTTTTTCATAAGAAAGACTATTATGCAATATGCAGAATACACTTTCGGAGTTTCTTATAGTGAATCTTTTATTTTTTAATTTTCTTTAACTTTCTCACTGCCTCATTGGCTTTAACTTTTGCTCCAAACTCCTAAGTACCGTTGTTTTCTGAATTTTGCTGAGATTTTCTGGAATTTTGCAAATGTTTAGCTGAGAATTTTAATTTAATGCTGTTTTTTTAATCAAATAGTTTTAGCAATAGTTCAAAAGATAAACTTACCGAGTTGTAGTTTCAGTTTTGAAAATTACCACACGAATTTTGGCAATTTAGAATTAATTGAATTATTCTCAAAGCTAAATATACTATTACTAAGAAAAAAGTTTTTACGTTCTGTTAAATCTGTTTCACTACGTTCATATGCCTAAAAATATTTCGTTCCAAATTCAAAAACACTTCTGCCACTAAAAAGCAACAGAAACAAATAAAATGCCCCTTATTAGCTACATATATTTTCTAGACTACTTCGATTCCATGTTGTAAATACCGATTAACGAATTGCAGCTTGTTTGAACTTATATAATGGCAGACAGACATAGGTCTGCCATTCGAAGTAGACAAAGTACCTGTTGACAGTGCTGTATTTCCCAATAGTGAAGAAAATAAAAAATAAATAGTGAAGAAAATAAAGGAAATTTTGATATGTCTTGTTTATTTTTCCATATAAGTGTGATTCTATGCAGATTTATCAATGTCAATATAAGTACAGATAATTTGGTTATCTGCTGGCAAATAAACCTCTGGACCAAACAATCAAAACAAGTGAACTAATCACAACGAGTAATAATAAAAAAATAATTAAAGTGTAATGAGTAATAATAAAATATACCATTAACCCTGTACAGTTTCCTTTTATAGGAAAGAGTGCTCGAGTATGTGTACTTGTTTAAAGGAGTGTGGCGATCACTGTTGTTTAATTTGCAAAAATTTGTGTCACAATATAATATGTGGAAAAACTGATGAAGAAGAAGGGTATGGCGCTGCAGTAATCTGCGATGGATGTTCTAGCACGCAAACTGAAAAAGATGGCCCTGTCAGAGAAGGCCCAACTTTTAACAAAAAACAAGAAGGTAATGTAATTAAATGATTCTCGAAACTGAGAGAAAGTGTTATACTTTTCTATACGTTAAACACTTTACATTGAAATTACAGCGTTCATCAAATTCTTTAAACAGCCTAACTCCGACACTAGCGGAAGTCAGTACCTGTCATTGCAAAGCGTCCTAGAACAAGTGGAGGCCATGGTAACACTAAAATTGCAATATTTCTGGAGTGTTTTGAAGAAAAGAAGAATAAATTTTGGTTTTCCCGGTATAATAAGTCAACCATGCGAGATCACATACACAGTGCTCACAGGAGTAAAATTAATCACATTCGGATTGTGCCAGAGGATGGTATAACAGCTAGACGGAACGACCCCTGATGGAAACAAGGAATTTATGGAATGGCATGACAACCTACGAGGGAAAAAAACATCAAGCAGCAGTGGAGAAATTCAGCTGCCTCAAGAACAAGGGTTATAACATGGTCCACATATAGGAGCGTGATATCAAACATCCTCAAATTGTTGGTCATCCTCGAATCATTACTGAGAATTTCGATCAAGACATCTCCATCTACTTTGGCTTGATTAAATGCACCGTGCTTTTACCATGTGGTCTTTTCAACCCTTCTCTTCAACTTCAACCAACTTCAGCAAAATGCTGTAAATTTTTTCATATTTATGAGTATCTGAGGGAGTATTTGGGGGAAAAAAGTCACCTAGAGCTCAGTAAAGTTATCTGTGTTTATATTCATATAGTTTTTGCAGCTTTTCTAAATGAGGTTTGATATTTTTGGACGTCTTAAGGTGGCTCGATACAATTCTTCGAAATTTTTAGATGCACATTTTAAACAGGGATATTAAGCACCGAATTTTTTCTATTTACAAAAACGTTATTTTTGCTTATTAAAAAATTCCCCCATGTTAGAATTTTTTTAAAACTTTCTCATAGATAAATAATCTATAGCGTAAATGTTTAATGAAAAAAAAATTGGGGGTCACCGAACTCGTTTGTGATAAAAACACGATTAAACCCTGTTTGGCGGCCATTTTGAAACATCTCTGTTGCCATGGTAACGGGTGCCCGGCAAAGGTTCTGAGAATATTTCTGCTCTATATATGTTTCCTGCAAAGTATATTAACTTTTAGCCTTATAGTGAAATATTTAGGTGCTTAATATCCCTGTTTAAAATGAGCCCAAAAAAATTAGAGAAATTGTATCGACCCACCTTAAGATGTGTTGGTTTCAAATAGTGAGCTAATTGTCAATATATATAGTATATTGACAATTGATTATGCATTATGTCATAGCAATGCGACTTGTGCAAGTTTTCTAAATAGCTTGCCTGCAGCAGCCTCATACGTGGAATATAAAAGATACAAATCATATTCCTGGGATGCCTATGGTTTTTTGTGATGATTCTCCCATCCTGATTCTCCCATTCTCCCATAATGTACATTACCTATAAAGATTTTTTACTTAAAACATTTTCAATAACACTCTGGAAACTCACCTAGGAAATATTGGTGAAAATTTATTATCTTTTTTTATATTTGTTATACTGCGCCAGGTTTACACTATCAAAAAAGTCAGCGATATTGTTGCAAAAACTATTTGGCTAATGAATGCAATCAGCAAAAAGCAAGCTAACATGACAACTGTTTAAGCAAGGCTTTTCTACCTACACCCAAAGGCCCATGCCACAGCAAAAACTCTCCTTCAGGCTGGTCATGTGACAGTGCAAAATCTCCCAAAATATGGGAGATTTTAATGAGTGCTTAGTTTATCTCTAAGGAAGGGGTGGCAAATCCATTAATTTAATATGCTTCTTCTATTTTTAGTACTTGTTGTGGCATTGTATTGCGGCCACAGATTATATAATAAAATGGCGGTTCACACAATAAACTAAAGAAATATAGCTAGTATTAGCCAGCAAATAGAAATTTTAGAGAACAATAAACCAAATTTAGATTAACAGAGTATGTATAGCAAATAGAAATTTTAGAGAACAATAAACCAAATTTAGATTAAAAGAGTATGTACAGAATGTATTATCATCAATATAATCTGTTTTAGTATTGTCACAGTTTTAGTATTTTAGTATTGAAAGCTAAATTGCAGAAAAACCGTCTACTTGCCACAGCCACTTCGTAGCCATTCCAATTCGGCTATCCAGTCGCATTTAGCCTTAGGTGGTCTTGCTATTGGCAGCCCAGTAATATGTGTTGATTTTAATCAACATATTTTACTGGGCTGCCTATGGTCTCGCATGACACTATAGCCTCACATCACACTCTCATCGCAACTAGTCCTGCATGTTCAAAGGCTCTATAGACACTACAGCTATCAGTTTAGTAAAATTTTTCTAGTGAGAATTGTTCAAGTGGAAAAATTTCGTACTACTGGGGCCGGTTGTACGAAAGGTGGATAAGTCGCTATCCAACGGATAAATTGCTATCCAACGGATAACTTTTATCCAGCGTGAAATTTGCGTTGCACGAAGCTTGGATAACTTTATCCAACGGATAAAAACCCCTATCCGTTGGATAAATTTATCCAAGGTCCGGAGGTAGTTTAAATCCACTATCCGGTGGATAAAACTCAAAAAGTTTCGATGCATCTCGGAAAAAAATTACATAAATTTTCTATAATATGGTGATTTACCGGATTCCAGGTTTTCATTTGCCTTTAAATAACCTACCTCGGGTGAATAGACGAGCAGAGCGAGTTTTTAGGCGAGAAATCCCAGATGAAAACATTTTACAATACTATTCCGACAGCGAATTGCGAGCAAGGTATCGTTTCGGTAGAGCAGCAATTTTAAACATCGTCCGTCTTATCGAAGAGGAAATACGTCCTGCAACGAACCGAAGCTTTCCAATCTCGGCAACGAACCAAGTGTTGATAACACTAAGATTTTTGGCAACAGGCAGCTTTTTGCAAGTTACAGGTGACACGATCGCAGGGGCAGATAAATCCACTGTTAGTCGAATTGTTCGTCGTGTAACTTTAGCAATCGCTCATAAACTCGACGCTTTTGTAAAGTTTCCAGCAACACAACGCGAGAAGGCCCTCATCAAACAAGGTTTCTACAACCTTGGAGGTTTTCCATGCGTTATCGGATGTGTCGACGGGTCCCATATTAGAATAATAGCTCCATCGGAAAACGAGTGCAATTTTGTCAACAGGAAGGGATATCACAGCATAAATATACAAGGGATCTGTGATCACAAAGGTTTGTTTTCATACTAACATATAGAGGATATCAAATGAGTATAAACGCACCACATTCATCACAATATTCAGCACCATATTCATCATCGTCTTAGCGTCTTAGGTGTGCCGATTATTGGCAGTTATGGGGCCAGCTTTGTGTTCGTTTTGGGTACCATAAAAATAAAGTAAACGCCCCTAGATATTTTAAGGGATAGACAACATTTCTTTGTAAAAAGTAATTTTGAGAAAGAAATTTTGTCTATAATCTAAATGGGGTTATAGTTGTAATCTGGATCATAGGACACAACAGCAAAACCCAGCCAAGACTGGGAGTCTGCCCTCAATCAGAACTTGTAAGACTGTTGTGAATGTGTGTCAGTGAAGACCTAATTTTTTTCTCTCACACAAGCTCGATTAATACTGCATATGATTATTATGGTATAGGGAAGTTTCTTAATGTTGTTGCAAAATGGCCTGGTGCAACCCATGATAGCCATTTCTTCAGAACATCCGCAATTGGGCTTGCACTAGAAGGTACAACATTAGATGATGGTGTTCTTCTTGGTGACAGTGGGTATCCATGTTTACCATATCTGATCACACCATACAACAACCCCATTACCATCCAGCAACGTCGATTCAACCGAGCACAGAAATGCACAAGATCCTCTATTGAAAGAGCTTTCGGAATGTTGAAACGAAGATTTCATCTCTTGCATTCTGAAATTCGAATGGCCCCAGACAGAGTTTGTACGCTTGTTGCTGCATGTTGTGTTCTTCATAACATTGCAATTGATTACCATGAACCAATGTGGGATGATGATGACAATCAAGATGAATTAGACCTTGGTCATGCCTATGAAGGTGCAAACAGGGGGGAAGCTGTCAGAAGCCACATTACAAACACATATTTTTGAAGGATGTTTCAAACAATTTAAAATTGTAATTGAGATGAATGTTAATTGTATAAAATGTATATATATATTTCAAATAATTCAAATTTGTAATTGGCATAAATGTTAAATATCATAAATTGAATAAATATCATTGTAAGTAATTTAAATATATAAAATATTATGAATATATTTACAAAATTGTATACAAAAAATTACCAAATTTGCTTTACATTGGAAATCAATATTACTTTTTTAAAAATAAGGGTAACCACACACAACAAACAAAAGATGCAACAATGTAATAAGGTCTAAAATCTTAGACTTTAAGTTCCAAAGTTCCTTTACTCATATTGAAAGGGTGGACCGTCAGACCGTGTAACCGATTCTATACCATGTTTAGACCCTGTTAGAGAACCTTAAATTTACAATAGAATTAATTTAATAAATTTGCCTCTTCTGCTTGCTTAACTTCAAGTTTTAATTTTCTTTGAATAAGTTTTGCATTTGCCAATTCAACTGCAATCTTCTCTTTCTCTAATTCCAAAATTTCCATCTGCATCCTTTGCAAGTCTTGTGCTGTTACTTTTCTTTTCCTATTTTTGCCTTTAACAGGTTGAGTGGTGGGAATTACTTCTTTGTCTGAAGACTCATCAGTTATGGTTGAGGTAATTAACTCAACATTGATTGTTGAGATTGGGGTTGTAGGACTTATTAGTGGGGAGTCATCCATCGGCATAGCGATTGGTTCACATTCAGCTAAAGATGGTTGGTTTAACACCAGAAACGGGTCATCAGTAACACCAAGGTTGTCAGGATTGTATTCATTGACAATAATCTCAATAGGCTGCTTGTTACTTCCTAAAAATTTCATTTTATAAAAAAATAGTTACTAGTTAGGATGATGTAGACAAAAGTACATTGGAACATGGATTAAATTTACTTGACAATAACGGTGGTACATTCATGAACTATGACACAATATACTTTGTATTAAATAGGAAAAGTAAAACGAGTATAAAAATGAGTTACAACTTATCTGAAACAAATATCCGCTGAAGAACTGTACTTGCAAGTCAGGGTTTATAATTATAGTCTCCGGTTCAACAACAATTTAAAAAGTCAATTGAATCAACTGCTTTTGATATATTCAGCCGTAATAATTTCAGCTGGAACTGCAGGATTCAGATTCACTGATTCAGCACAAATAAAACCTAGTGAACCCACCAGATTCAATGCCCCCGGATATACCGGAAAAGCTCGGCTCATCTTCAAAGAGCTCGATGATTCGTCGAGACGTTTCTTTGACAGGCGCCGGCGCACTTCCGCCTCCGGTTTGTTGTTGTTGGTGTTTTACACGACTGAAATCTTTTTTTGCCGAGGACACCATTGTTCTCCACTTGTCTTTAATCTCCCCGGTTGTCCTCTTAGCTACACCGATGGCATTGACTTTGTCCGTAATGGTTTTCCATACGTCGGCCTTCATTTTGTTGTTAAGCGTGTTTGAAAATTTTTCACGGATAACACTCAAATTTTGCTCCGCTAATTCAAGCAACAGCGTGCACTCCGCTGGAGAAAAATTGGATTTGCGTGGTCGTTTGCTTAGTAAATTGGACGCCGACATGATAGAAATTTTGTATTACTTTGCTTAAGAAAAAAAGGTGAAGACAGTGAAAACTACAACTTTTTTGGTGAAGATATATCGTCAAAGGTTAAATATTACAAAATGATATCGTCATTTTACATAGCAACGTATAGCAACGAGCTAACATTGATAGTTATCCGGTGGATAGCTATTCACCTTGCTATTCGTGTTTCGTACAACGTATTTTTATCCGGTGGATAACTATCCACTGGATAGAAGATTTATCTGCTGGATAGGACTTATCCACTGGATAACTTATCCACCTTTCGTACAACCGGCCCCTGTTGTCTAAAGTCTAATAAACGGGACATTATGATCTTTCATTGAGTTTGCTTTTCACAATATTTTCTAATATTGTATAGGTAACATAATTGTCAGAGCATGTTCTTTTATAAGTGTATATATTTCAATAACAATGTTCTAATTACATAACTGAACATTAAATATGACATGCGTGTTTGAATGTTACATAAATCAAATATATAAATATACATACAGCTATGGATGTCTTATGTTTCATGCCTTTATAATAATATCCATGTTAGAATTTCCCGTAGATTTTTTTTCACATCAAGAATAAATGCAGCGAATAAATCTTCACCATTATGTTCATATTGCCATAAAAACTCCGCCAAATGTGACGAGAACGCAATCTTTTGCACACCGAAACAGGGGAGTTTACTCTTTGCTTGTCGCCAGTGTCCCTCTATTTTGTTTGTGCGAAATCCTTCATTATTTACGAATTATTTTGAATGATTCATCTGTCGATGTTCATACCCATATTTATCTATATTTATATAAGCTTTCCAACAATCTGATACAATTGTTGTTCCCTTTGCAATGTATTTTTTATCAAAGGTACCAAAGTTGCTTCATCACGTTTCTCTATGGCTGCCATAAAACACGTTCTTGAACCCTCTTCAATACCACCAAAAGCCCAGTCTCTCAATGTGGTGCCCTCGTTGGTATTTTCTCTTTCCGAATTTACTTTCGTCTATTTGGACAATTTACCAGATCCACCGATTTGTTTCTCTTGCTCTAAAAGTGTCACTTTGCAAGTTTCGCAGCAGAAACTGTCCCAGTCGACTGCAATATGAGGGGTGACATTTAGCTCGTGACAAATTTCCTCTTGCTTAACATCAGGACACCACCAATATGTGAGCTTGAGAATTTCCTCCAAAGTCATGTTGCTCTTCTCAAACCAACTTCCCTGATGTTTTGATAACTCAAGCTTGTCTCTCTTTTCTGCTTCTTCTTGACATTCTCATTTGTAGCGGTCCAACCTGTCTTCACACATAACTAATTTCATATCTTTCTTGCAGTGTCCACAAACTCTTTCTCATGCAATCAATCCCTCCTCCATTGAGCGTTGTATCACATTTTCCTTGTTACATAAAATTTCCTCTTTTAATCTGTCATAAGTCCATTTGTTCACCCTACTGGTTCTATTGTAACTGTTAATTTCTCATCTGCACTGTGATTCAGCATCTTTCAAATAAAAATACGATGTTTCCGTTTGAGAAATACTATTTGCCTTTCCAGTCTTTCTTCATTTAACACAAACCTGCACTCCCTTTTCCATAATTTTTAATTCTATAGCAGCAAATGATGATTATATGATGATTATATAAATGGTTCTGCACTGTTTGCATCATTTAATCAAACACAAAGAAGTTGTCATGCATACTAATCATACATTATAATCCATGCGGAAATTTCTTCATTCGATAACCCCTATATGTTTTGTCTCTTCTGTTTTTTCTTTTTAACATGTGACACATGCTGTAAACTGACCCCAAGGCGTTCTATGTAAATATTTCCTAGCAGAAACAACAATAAATTCCTCATTTAAAGCATAAGACTTTTGTAAACTAAAGCCCTTTTTATAATAACTTAATCTACGAGTGTTAATAGAGATCAAGCTAAAAATTTGTAAAACGTTGGCTGAAACTTCACAGAATGTGTATTTTTTGTTATCGTTATTTTACTTCAATAGCCAATTCGGTATCGCACCTATTACTAACTTATTACTAATATAATTTTTTATTTACATCCTAGACGAGACAACTTCGCATTACCAATTACACAATAAAATCGGCTTATTAAAAATGTTTGTTAGAGCTGCTAACATCCAAACAACCTGGAATTCTATTACTCGGCCTGGAAATCCAAAACCTTGCAGCAAAACATTTCAGTGTTTATGGACACTGCAAAATTTTTCTGTTTGTCTCAAAGCTTGCTTTACACTGCATTTGAAAATATCTGTGAATAATAATAGCTATAAATGTTTAAAATGACCAAAAAAGTTTTTCAGCCTAACATTTTCATACAAATGCTTTAAAACTTAATTTAATGGTGTAAAATCCTGAGGCCCTGTTCAGATGAGCCGGGCTGGCCCACTTTGCCGGTCTGACTCGCTAGAGATCCAGCTTCCAAAGTTGTTTCAATATGTTTTTGAAATTTTATTCACATGGAAAGCGGGCCAGCCTGCTTTGGCAAGATCTCGCTTGAGTGAGGCAAGATCTCGGAAAACCAGGCTCATTGCCATTGTCATTGCCATTGTTTAACACTTTATTTTTGTCAATTATTTACATAAATATGTTGGGAATGTTTTATTATTTCGATTATCATTTGCCCAAGGTGAACCCCATGGATATGCCCTTTTATTGTGCAAAATATACACGCCTGAATGTCACCTTCAATAAAAAAAATGTTAACTTCAATAAAAAAAATGTTAAATATAATTACACATCTTGGTTTCGGTAATATGATAAGCATGGTACTTATGCGGACGGAAATTAATTAATCCCTGAATCACAGTTACAAAACAGTTCCAATGATATGTTAGTGCTACACCTAGGCTGTTAAAGCTGTTCTACGTTTCTATTACCAGTTCATACTCCATTCAGCCATGGCTAACACAAATCCTATTCTCAAAGTCACTAGACAACACGAGACAACATGGACACAACTACACAAGAGGATCTCAAATGTTACCTTTTCTTTTGAAGATTTTTTCCAGAAGATGTTTGGAGATTCCTTCATAATAAAGCAACCTCCCTTAACAGTTCCATTGGCTATTTGACGCCTGTATTGGTAGCCAGCACAGCATATTTATCTTCTAAAAATGGATACACTGTTGAAACTCTGATCCACGAACAACCATTAAATTTATATACAGTTTTCGTTGGCTATCCTTGCACCAGAAAGTCGTCAGCTGTGAAGCACGGTTGCCTTGAACCAATTGCCCATTTGTTGGATAACAATGACTTAACGCTTTTTCTAGACAGAACAACCTCTTCTGGTCAAGCATCTCGCCGCAAGGCATAGTGGCTTCTTAGTTTCGCCTGAAATCTTTGACGTAGTTTACAAGCTATTG